CAGTAATTCATTCGCATTAGAGAGTATATTCTACATAGCTGATTTCCTGGTATTGCTAAGGAACATCAAGCATTGTAGAATCTGACACTTCTCAGTCTCCCTCCAGCTCTACAAGGTCAGTGGAGTTACCTACAAAATCCTGAAAAAGGATCCTTTTCTTACCAGCTAAGCTATACATTTAAGGGAAGTATATGCCTTAGAAGGGAAATCAACCTTAAATATTTAAAGAACACTTGAAAGCAGAGATTGCCATCCAGTTCGACTCCTATTAACTAAATTCATATAGAGAATTCCAGAATAAGAAACCCTACCAACCCCTAAGAGTAAAATACATATAAGAACACTTGGCAGAATGTAAGGAAATATAAAAGTAAGTGAAGCCCCATTTTCAATTCTAGTAGCTATTCTTAAACTGGTATTGAGGGCCATCAGAAATACTTTTCCCTTGATATAACTCTTAGGATTTGCTGCAAAATAATCCAAGGATGGTAGAGGGTAGGAGGGAAATGAAAAAAGAGTGTCCAAGAACTGATGGTTGATGCAGGTGACTGATGGGTTTATGAAGGTTCACTGTACTATTCTCTCTTTGCACATGCTTGAAATTTCCCTGTATAAAATATTCAAATACGTTTTCCCAACACTTGCTGTCATCAAATGCTGCCAAGTCTGTTCCAATTCATAACAACCGAAGGCCCAACAGAGCAAAATGTTGCCAGTCCTGCACCATCCTCACAACTGTTGCTACGTCTGAGCCCACTGGTGCAGCCACTGTGTCAATCCACCTCAACAAGGGTCTTCCTCTGTTTTGCTGACCTACTTAACCAACCATGATGTCGTTCTCCAGGGACTGGTCCCTCCTGATAACAAACCCAGTGTTAAATGAGATGAGGTCTTGCCATCCTCCCTTCTAAGAACCATTCTGCCTGAACTTCATCCAAGACAGATTTATTCATTCTTCTAGCAACACTTCTATTCAAATGTATCAACTCTTCTTTGGTCTTCCTTACTCACTGACCAGCTTTTGCAGGTATATAAAAAAACCACACTTGATTCTTATATAAGAACATTTAGGAAAACAAGCGTTGGTACGTTGTGGAGGTACTGGAGGCCTCATGCACTGCTAGTGGAAATGTAAAATGGTGCAGCCACTGTAGAAAACATTAGGCAGCTTCTCAAAAAGGTGGACTACCATATGACCCAGTAAACCAATCCTAAGTATATACCCAGAAGAAGTGAAAGCAGGAACACAAACAGAAACCTATACACTAATATTCATTGCAGCACTTTTCACAATAGCCACGAGGTGGAAACAACCAAAATCTCCATCAACAGATGAATTTGGATAAGCAAAATGTGGTATATACATTTAATGAAATATTACATGTATTTCAATATATACCAGTGGGTAGGGTCAAACTGCCAACTTTCAGGATAGCAGTCAAGCACAAATCATTTGTGCCACCCAAGGACCTCCTGAGAAATGTTATACAGCAAATAAAATGAGCATTAAGAATCTAATGAACCTGCACTGGTTGAAAATGTAGGACTCTCCAAGACTACTGCCCTGAGACACTCTTCAAATCTTGAACCAAAACTAACCCTTGAGGTCATCTTGTAGCTAAAAAACAAACTGGCTCAAAAATAATGAGTATCACCTATAGGTACTTTGCTCCTTTAAAAAAAATCACCTGTACAGACCAAACGATCAACAACTACTTTAAAACAAAGATGAGATTATAAGGGGGCAAGGAAACTAGATTAATGGAAATGAACAACCAGAACAGAAATAATGTTCATGTACTGTGAAGAATGTAGCCAATGTCACTGAACAACTTGTGTAGAAACTGTTGAATGGGAACCTAAATTGCAGTATAAACCTTCACCAAAAACACAATTTAAAAAAAGAATGTAATGAATCAACCTGGAAAATGTATTTAGTGAAATAAGCAAAACAAAAAATTCTGGTATGAATCAAACTATGTAAAATACACATACACACAGATACTGACTACACCCACTCCTCATTTATCAACAATGGTTAGGTTCCAAAGATCAGGTCGTTATGCAAAAATCAGTGTTTTGTGAAAATGGAGGATGCCCACATCAGATCACAAAATGGAGGATGACTACATCATTACTAAAAAAAGAGAAGGAAAAAAAAAAAACTCTTTGGGCTTCCAAGGCAGTAAATCTTTACAGAGGAAAATTGCCCCATCTTCCTTCCAAGAGTGGCTGGTGGTTTGAACCGCCAAACTTCTAGTTATCAGTCAAAGGCCTTATGCACCGTACCACCAGAGCTCCTTTACATCATTACATGACTGCCAAATTACATCCTTACGTAACTGCCAAACCACTGAGAATCATGGCCCAGCCAAGCTGACAAATCACCTTAACCATCATAGTCGATGTTAATCTCATCTAGCACCCCTCAGCCACTCCTCGGAAGGAAGATGGGGCAATCTACTTCCGTAGTGATACTGCCTCGGAAACCCAAGGTGGGGTCGCTATGAATTGAGGCCGACTCGACGGCACATAACAACAAACAACAACAATCACCCAGGTGTTTGTTTCTGCCAGAAATGTGCAAAATAGACAGGTTTTTACTATTGTGAAGGTCACAAACAACAAGATAACTGGTAAGTAAGGAGCAGGTAAAGTTAGAAATTGATGCAGTTCATGGATTTTGATGGTGAAAATGTAAATGAGAATTTAAAAAGACTTGCTATAATGCCTTTTTTATGAAGAATTAAGGAAAAAAAAAAAAAGATGCATGGCCACACTGCTCTCCTCCACTACTGCATCCAGAAGTATCTCCAGAGCATAGCATAGAGGGAACCCATCGGAAGACTGTGTGCTGGGCACACACACCTAAGCAGCACTGGGAAGAGGACCACATTATTGCTATCTATGCAGGACAAACGCTCATTACAGAACAACAGAGCTGCTTTCATAAGCCTGTCATTTTCATTCATTAGCACTGGCATATATGACATTTAAACACTAGGGCATAACTTTTTCAATGCATTTAAACTTTGTGGAAAAACCAATAAAATTAAATGCAGTTGTTCTGGTTACCTAGCGCCACTCTGACAAGAATATACCACAAATGGGATGGCTTGAACAAACAGGAGTTTATTCTCTTACAGTTTGGAGGCTTTAAGTCCAAGTTCAAAATGCCAGACTCTAAGGGCTGGGTAAAAGCCCCTCAGCCTTGGGCTTCAGCTCTGCCTCCAGCTCCCGGCCCACTGAAGCTAGAGGTATCTCTTCACTCAGGCAACTACTGGCTGCAGAGGCTAACAAGCCCAAGGTCAACAAATAAAAAGGCACAGTCCTAATGTTACCAAACCACATGGCAGGCCATTCATTCAAGTCCACTGAAAGTCCCAAGGTTGGCAGAACATGGCAGGCTGCTGAGCAACGACACGGCTACATGCAGGGTTCAAGCGTGCCATAAACTAGACACCATTCCCAAAACTGCTTCTTATATACGGGAAGCAGACCACATTCCTACAGCAGCTACTCAGCTGCTTGTGATAGATCCCACCACAATGATGAGATTGCCAGTCTCATCATAGGGAACAACTACCACCAGCTGCCCCGCCACTCAACCAGGCCCAACCAAGTTGACATGTAACTTTAACTACCACAACAGTCCAGAGAAATAATATTAGAAGTTCATCAATGTTTGGGAATAGAATACCATCAGACAGTTGTGATGTCCACAAACTAAGAAGAAACTGGTCCAGCTTCAAGATGGGGGCAGTTAACTTTCTCCTCACCTCCCTTTTAGCATGATATTTCTGCACAACTAGTTTTCTTTTGTTTTCAATTCTGAAAAGCATTTTCCACCATGTTCCTAATGAAGCTTGAAATTAACAGGGCTTTTTCATTTCCTTCTTTGTGTGCTGGCATGAAACCGAAGCTAGATGTAGGAAATATCACAAGGTAGAAGCAGAGCAATATTACAAAGGATCATTTCTTTTTCAAAAGCCTTGGAGCACTGTTTACATTATCTTCAGGACTGATGAAAATGGGGCTGGCTTGATGCTTCACCTTCTCTGCTTGGACTAGCCCATAAATGGCCCACAAGTCACTGAAACGCCCATTATATGCTCTTTTTAGTCAAGATGTAGGCATAGGAAATGAGGTGTGCGAAGCTGTTCCTTCTCCTATCGGATAAAAATACTGTCTTAGAGAGAGGGAACAGGAAAGGTAGGGATTTCCTTCTATCCAGAAAGGTAAACTCATAAAGAACATGTTGATGACCGTATCATAGTCCCCTATACATAAATGACCGCTAAAATAAAAGGGTGGGGGAAAAAAAAAGGTTTTCACTACATCCTACTGAAACCTGGAGTACAAGAATCATGAGTTTTAGTCTTAACTCCATTCTATTAGCTGACTGAAAAATAAAGAGACATTATCCAACTCCCAGGATTAATATAACAGAAATGAATTTGTTCCACATACTCAAACACTCTTATTACTACATAAACAATAAAAGAAAGGGACAAGAAAAGGGTTCAAGGGAAAGTAAAATGATTTCTTACCACCCTCCCCCTCAAAAAAAACATTAAAATACGGACTTACAATACTTTTTCACAAATAGCATGCACAGTAATGCATAGGAAATGCAAGAGTGAGGGGGTTGAGCAATATTTGCATAAAAATATTTGCAATATTTGCATAAAAATACTGTGTTTGGGAGTCCGTGGGTGGTATAAACAATTAACAGGCTTGGCCACTCACTAAATGTGAAGTTGGAGGTTCAAGCCCACCTACAAGCACCTCAGAAGAAAGGCCTGCGATTCTATTTCTAAAACAGCAGCTATTGGAAACCCTATGAAGTACAGTTCTACAGCTGGACTCTGACACACAGGGGTCATCATACGTTGGAACCAACAGGATGGCAACTCACTAGTTTTATGGACTTATTAGTGTTGATTTAATTGTCAGATTAGAGTCCAACTCCATTTTTCTCGTCATTTTCTTGTACTTACCATGACAGGAGGCCCAGATTCGGAGGAGAGATCCTCGTCCCTTCAGTGTCTGGCAAGGCTCTTCTTTCCCTTATACCAAGATCCTAAAAAGAAAAAAGGGCTAAATTGGCTACAATTTTTCCCAAAAATTGGCCATATCCTAATTAAAGAGACTGCATATATATGGACCTAAAAACCTAACCAGAATCAGCCAAGGAAAAGTTGAATATCAACTGACCAATTCTTATTAATTAAATCTAAACTCTATAATGTCTTTATAAAATCTTCCTGATCTTATCCTTTTTCTGCAAAAAACAGCACAGGCTCACATTTCTGATGTTAAATACGATGAATGTCTTAAAACTTGGGAAAAAATAACGAAGCAGTAATAGTTCAAATCAATCTGCAAATGCAAAAACTACTTTTTAGATTATTTCAAGATGTTCATGCAATTATCTGCAAATTCGAAACGGATCAGTGGGAACCAAACCAGAATAACAGGCAAAATGTGTTGAAAAAATCGTGTCATTTCCAATTTTCTATACTCTTCCAAAAATTTGCATAAGTTGTGCTAACACTCTTACCTGGTTTTTAAGGATCAACTTCACAACTGGTTTGAGTTTTTTTGGTGGGATTTTAAGGACAACACCAAATTCTAGCTGTAACTTCTCCTAAAAGGCTTAGAATCATATGGCACAATTTTACCAAACAAATATTTAGCCAACATTTCTAGCGCTCTAAGCTTCCATAAATACTAATATTTTAAGAAGGGTGAGCTTCAATATTCAAAATACACTCATTAAGAGCAGTGTAAGTGAGGAAAGAAAGGACCCCAAAGTAGCAGAAAAGCCCAGATCATGTCTTTACAAAACCAAAGCCACTGACTCAATTCCAAATACACACACACACACACACACATACTCTGCATATAATGACCTTCTAGGGCAGGATAGAACTGTCCTATACGGCTTCCAAGGTTGTAAATCCTGACAAAAGCAGACTGCCATATCTTTGTCCCACTGAGAAGCTGGTGGGTTCAAATCACCAACCTTTTGGTTAGCAGCTAAGTGCTTAACCACTACACTACTAGTACTCCTTTTGATGCCTTTAAGGTCTCTGTAAGTGAAATGGAGACCTTCGGGGGTTGTGAGCAGAGGACTGGCATAAGATGATTCATTTTAAAGGATCACTGTGGTTGTTGAATAGGGAATAGACTGTTGGGAGTGAAAACAAAAGATGAAGCAAGGAGATCAGTTACAAGGCTACTGAAGTAATCCAGGCAAGAGACAATATAGTGTTTTACACTGCATAACGTGGATGGACTTGGAGGACATTATGCTAAGTGAAATAACTCAATCACAGAAGGACAAATATTGTATTACTTACTGTTATTGTACAAAGTCAAGGAAATGCCTGTACATGGAAGGAAACTTTCTTTGTTGGTTACCAGGGGTGGGCAGTGAGAGGAGGGAACACTGTTAGATAGGTAGAGACAAGTACTGATTTGGGCGAAGGGAAGGGCAATATACCAAATATGAGTTATCAATATGGTGGTATTGAGGAAGAAGAACACATAGAGAGGTGCATGGGAGGTATGGACAACAAAGACCAATCTTTTGCACATCCAGTACTGTGTTGTCAGTCATCACTGACTGACAATGGCAAACACTGATCTATGGGTGGATAGATGGGTGGACAGGCTGAGCAATCATGTACGTCCATGCAGGGGGTAGTGTGCCCATCACCATGTATAGGGTTAGCAGACAATGTGTCTACAGGTGTATTTGTATGTTCTTTAAGAATTCCCAGGTATATAGTAGAGCTGACAAGGGACAAGGTTGTAGTCACTTCTTGGCCACAGCCAGCTACCCAGAGGGAGTGAGCAGTTGGACTTGTGGGCTCAGGACCATGGTTACAGGGGACATTAAGCTCAAATGGCATAACATACTGCACAAAAACATTGTTACACATCCTACTTTGGCAAGTAGCGACTGGGATCTTAAAAGCTTGCAAGTAGCCATCTAGATGCAACGATGGGTCCCTCCTCGTCCAGAACAAAGAAGAATGAAAAAAACCAAAGATTCATGGAAGCAATTAGTCCTAGCAACTGGTACACCATGTGATCCTCAGCCTATACGAATATGAGACCAGAAGAACTAGATGGTGCCCAGCTACCACTTTCAACCACTCAGAGGGGGATCTATACAGGAGATCCTGGATAGAGTGGGAGAACAATGTGCAATAAAACTTAAAATCATTTAAAAAAAAAAAAAAAAAAAAGGACCAGGTTTGCTGTTCTGATAGAGCTCATGGAACCCCTGAGGCTATGGCTCCTAGCTATCCTTCAGGTCTAGAGTTGAACCCACTCCTGTGGCTTCCAGCCAAATAAAAGACAGGCATAGGAGCTGAACATTTACATTAGGCAGATATACTTCTTGGAGAGATCCATCATGGGAGAATAGAAGAACTGTGTATGCACAGGGAGACAGCTCGGGGGCAGGAGTGCATGGGAAGAAAGGACACAGGGAAGAGATAACTATGGGGAGGAAGTGGGAAGAGAGCTGTTGCATTGTGGGAAGTTGCAGTCCATGTCATGAGACAAAGTATATGTGAACTGCTGTATGGAAAATGAATTTGCTCTGTAAATGTTCACCCAAATCACAATAAAAATTAAAAAAAAAAAAAAAAAGAGAGAGAGAGAGAGAGACAGTATTGTGTTTTAGACCAAGGTAGTGATGATAAATTGATATATATAGTGAGAGGTTGCTAGATTCTGCATATATTTTGAAAATACAGCCCACAGGATTTGAGCTGAGAGAAAGCGAGAAGTCAAGCTTTTTTGAACTGAGCAACTAGAAGAGATTTCTCATTTACTGGTGAAAGAAGTCAATAATGAAAACGGGGAGGGAAAACAGGGATTCAGAGGTTCTGTTTTAGGCATGTTATGTTTGAGATGCTTATTAGATACCCAATTGGCAAGGCCAAGTACATCAAGACAAGAGATATTAATATAAATGTGGACACTACTAGTGTATGGATAGCATTATAGCCACAAATGGGGAACAGGAATAGATTGAGAAGCTAAGAAGACTGAGATGTGGGCTTTAGAGCACTAAAGTATCTGGAGGCTGGAGAGATGAGGAAGAAGCAGATGGCTCAGACATAAAGCAAGTAAGAGGCATGATCCTCACCATTCTTCAAACCCAAATCAGACCTCTGTGATTTAATCTAGCTCAAGAACCCAAATTAGCCTAAAATGATCTCATTTATTCATTCATTTCAGTAAGTATTTATTCAACACCTACTGTATCCAAGTACCATTCTAGGTTTTGAGGAGACAGCTGTGTACAAAAAGTACAGGAGCTTAATTTACTGCCTGTCTCCCCCCCACTAGAAACAATTTATATATTTATTTATTTATACACACACACACACAATTATCAGGTAGCTGATAAGTGTTATAAAGAAAATAAAGCAGGGTATAGATGGGGAATAGCAGAGAGATGTTGTATTATATGGAGTGGTAAAGGGTGTGCAAAGTGGCCACCCACTGACATTAAAAAGGAGAGGCAGGAGAAACAAGGGTAAAGAAACTAGCTTATTTGTGAATATATTAAAAACCAATGGGTTGTACACTTTAAAGCATGAATTTTATGTGAAACGAATTAGAACCCAAAAAAATGCAGGTGAAGAGTCTGAACATAATCAAACTCTTCATGTAATTCTAAAATAACTACTATAAAAAGTTATTGGACCAACCCAGAAGCAATGAGTGTTCTAAGCACCTAGACAATAGTGTTTAAAGATTGATTTCCAATCAATGGAACCAGGGCTCCTGAAAAAATAGCCAATTCTAGGTTTAAAAAGAAAATTTACAAGTTGATTCTGGAACATTCTATAAAAATCAGATAGTGAATTTGGTGGTTATATTTGTGTGTCAACTTGGCTGGGCCTGATTGAGTGGCTGGGCAGCTGATGATAGTTATTCCCCATGATGAGACTAACAATCAGTTTCATGGTGGGACCTACCGGAAGCAGCTGAGTAGCTGCTCTAGGGATGTGGTCTGCTTCCTGTATATAAGGAGAAGCTTAGCTTATGGCACTCTTGAACCCTGCACATAGCCAAGTCATTGTTCAGCAGCCTGCCATGCTCTGCCGACCTTGGGACTTAAAATGGATTTAAATTAATGGCCTGCCGTGTGGTTTGGTAACATAGGAACTGTGCCTTTTTACTTGTCAGCCTTGGGTTTGTCAGCCTCAGCAGCTAGCAGCTTCTCAGTGAAGAAACGCCTCTAGCTCCAGTGGGCCAGGAGCAGGAAGCAGAGCTGGACCCCAAGATTGAGGGGCTTTCAGCCAGCTCCTAGAGCCTGGCACTTTGAACATGGACTTAAAGCCTCCAAACTGTAAGAGAATAAACTCCTGTTTGTTCAAGCCATTCCCATTTGTAGTATATTCTTGTCAAAGCAGCACTAGGTAACCAGAACAGCAGAGAAACTACTGAGGGTATGTGAAAAGCACTTGAGAGTCAACTTGAACAGACTATCATTGAGCCAAACATGGGATAATGTCAGTAAAAACAGTAAGTACAATGAATTTAGTTTAAATATGTTTAAATCTATGAGTTCCAATGATTTCATTCTCTTTCTCTCACGCTCTCTCTCTCCCCTCTTTTCCCCCCTTCTCTGTGATCACCACTCTTATTATCAAAAACTGGTTAATAAGGAGAAAGAATCAAGTACTTATCCTGCCTCTCCTATCAACTGTAGAATCAAATTGTTTATGAGGGGAGTATATCATTTTACTAGTGCCAAAGAAATATAGGGTGCCAATTAGATCCAGTCCATGGGAAACTACAGGAAAACAACCTACATTATTTAAGTGAATTGCAAAGCTAAAGAGAGAGATGTAAGGGAAATCTATGAGACTTAAGTGACATGTCAACCAACTACAATTCTGTATGTACTATATGGACTTTATTTCGGTCCTGATTCAAATAAAGCATAAAAATAAATTGAGAAATTTAGCAAAATCTGAACACTTAA